CAGAGCCCAATCAGTTCTCGTCTTAGGCCGTAGAGTGTTCACTTCACAGAATTTTTGCCTTGACGTTCAGTGGAGTTGTTCCTGTGCAACAATTACAGAGAATAGGTGGACAAGGTGTCAGGGATCAACGCAGTAACCACTTCGCGGTCTTTTCATGAAGGGCCACTTACTCAGCCACCCAATTTAGAGTTTACAAGTCAAGGACCTCCTTTTCAGTTGGGCGCTTCACGCTTTTGACGAATGTAAAAACGCTTTTGATGAACCTCAGATCACCTTGCAATGAGCAGCCTCTCTTCATCTACCGTATTCTGGCGATGGGATGCAAAAAAACAACAACTAAGTTGGGAGTTAGCCTGGCTGATGTTTAAGGCTTTTTTGGCTGCTAACCATTCACTTAAAAAGTCAAAGAAGATTTGAGTAGATTCACCTTAGCGTTCATGGTAGTGTAGTCGTATTGGCATGGTACGGAGTCACCACATTCAGGAGATAATCGCGGCTGGATTATCTGGACACTGACTGAGTCCGTAGGCTTCGGTCAGCTGTGATTGCATGGGTTGAGGTTAACTGAAATGTGTGACTCTTCTAAGAATTCTTAGAGCATTCATATATCCTTGATCAGCTAAAAGTTTGGATTCAAACCAAGTTATTATACTTAGCTTACATTTTATTTCCAAAACCTAAATACTTACTGATATTCTGCTGTTGCAGATCCCGGCAAGTCTGCAGTCGTTGGTTGAGCACTTGGCCAGTAATAGGGTGGAAACGATAGGCGCCTCTGCAAAGGGTGGCTATACTTGCCGTTCTACATGTCTTCAGTTGGGCAAGATTGAGCGAAGTTTCCGGTAGAGGCATACGATTTTGCAAGCTAGTTGTGTGGGCATTTTTGGAGTCGGTACAGAATTAGCCACCCTCCACCAAACATATCAGAGAACACGCGCAGTTTCAGTCCTCTTCCGCCGCTGCTCATGCGGAGCCGCAAATACGTATAGTCAAAACCAGCAGTAATGTATGTTTTCCCCACATTGACACCTCCCAGAAGAAGAAAAAACTTGATATACTCAAGATAATTGAAAAAAAAACGTACGTCTCATATTTCGGAGCTGTTTTGTAGATGGGACCGCTCTTCATCGCGGCTTCCGGAAATACCTGAAACAAATAGCGATTCGAACTGAAAAACAGTACTCTGCGGTTTCCAACAAGATGAATAGGAATGAGAAGCTCGATTATTCGGTTTTGTAAACTATTTCGAATTGCGCCGTGCATTCACAACTCCCAATAAAACGAAGGAGCATTTGAATGGGTTTCCGACAAATGCAACTGTTTCCAGTGCCAAGACAACTTCCAAGCTGGTGTCTATCTTTCCACTTTGGTCAGACTTGCCACACACGAGCTTATCAGCCCAAGCTTTTTTAACTTCAACGATAGTATGATAAGGTTGTATGGGGAAGCTTTTGAGCACTATGAAGTCACTAATGTCACAAATCAATATTTCGACCATGCAAACGCTGAGCCGATTTCACAATTTTTTACACAAGGTATCCGTCTACCTACCTCGAACTTCTTGTCCTCGTCCTTGCTAGTGGTAAACATATTTTCTGTTGGCATACCAGCCTGGTTCTGTGTCTGCAGGTTCTGATCGGAGCCGGGCTCACCAGATCCCTGCACGCGATCTGAAAAGACAATTACAAATCTGTTTACTTCTTTGAAATCTCCAAATTGCAAAAACCTTCATCGATACCGAATAAAAGCTAAAAATTAATACAGAAACAAATAGAGGTATAAAAAGTGAGTAGAATATGTATGAATACATGTATCTCTACAGTCTCTGCGCCGAAAACATCTGCGTTACATAGACATAAAATCTCAGCTCTTCACAAACTTGCGCGAGTTTCGCATTTTGTCTTTTCTTCGACAAACCATACATCTTCACTACTAGCTCTCCTTTAACAAACAATTCGTTTCCTGACAAGTAAAATACTGTTTTATTTCTTGGCCCGCTCCAACCCTTTGTTTCCCACCTTTTTCGTCACGAATTTTAGTCATCTATTTCTTTATTTCAGAAGTTCTACCGCCTTAAATAACGCCGATAAAATCAGTCATCAGCCAAAATTTAAGCGCACAATTCAAGAAATAGAGTCACTTACCTATCAACTGTCATCAAAAACCGTAGAGCAGATGCATAAATTTTTCGGACATAAGCATCTGCCCCTAGGTGTGCGCCCGCGCACGTGAGTTTAATCCAAAATTGCAGAGTCATCCGAAAATCCGTATTCTTTGAAGCCCGCAATGGATTCAGAATAATAACCGACATTCTTCTCCGTAGCATTACATCACTTTAGGATATTGTACTGAGTTATTCGAACCCAAAGGAGAGAAAGGCTAGTTTTGACAGATTGCTATTCGATTCTAATCATGAGGAGAAACCAAAACGTGCCTGCAACGCCGTTTCTCGTTTGATTAAAGGCAAACTCCGGGATTAAACAGGTGCTATCAGCGCTTTGTGGTGATAGCTTAGCTGCGGAACGACCTGAAAGTGGAAAGGAAAGCAAGAGATATCCTTGGGAACGCTGCAATTAAGGCCTTAACCTTCAGTAGGGTAGAATGTGGTACGATGGCGAGAAAGGGTGGTCAAAGAAGGCAAAATACGCGAGAGAGCAACTGTCGTGAGAGCACACCTGATCTCTACATCCAGTGCATGCTGATCTCACCACCTCTCGCGGCGGGTGGGATGCGTTGGAAAGGGAGTCGATGGTTGCGGGCCCGTAAGGACTAACCGCGCAGTTTTTGCGACGAAGCTGGAGTGATCCAGTTACGTACGGACCTTACAATTTCCCCCGTGGAATCCCTCCTACTAGTCGGGCTAATCCCGGGGTTTGCCTCAAAGGAACTGTACATAAACTCACACATGTTGATTATTTGTTGTCTGTATGTCTCCGAATTTACATCATTCAATGTCAAGGTCTGCATGAAGCTGGCTGAGGTCTGATCAGGGAATGGTCTCATTAATCCGGCTACTCGAGGAAGATTGTACCGCTGTCGTAACTCGGTCTCTCTGGTTTTGTCACCATCTGGGCGCTGAAAAATAAATACGTAGATAGATGTCACAGCAGAACAGAAAATAACGGATTTTAGCATTTCCAAAGCATAAAGGGGAGAAAAATAGAGTCCGATAAGCTCAGCCGATATGGGATTTACAAAGCACGCAATTGACGTGAGGTAAAGTGGCGCCGAGCTTCCGCAAAAAAGGAACCGGAAAAGAAAAAAGGAAGTTTTTCAATTTTTCTCATAGAACCGAATTCATACCACTCCGTATTGTGGCGGTACACTAAGCGCCACGTTCAGCATTCCCATGCTCTCCTGATAATTCGAATAACGATCGACATCGATGGCATAGGATTCGCGGATTCGAACGCCAATCTGGGCTTCTTCGAGAACAACGTAGATTTCTGGCTGGCCTCGTTCGACGTTATTCACATAGACAAGTACGCCTGGAAAAAGCGCCATGGATTTACTATGCAGAAAACGGAAGTTAATTACATCGCATCATTCGATTTCTACGCGAAGTTGAACAATTCAATTAATTATATAGTTGCGATGAAACTTCTGGATGCAAAAAATGATTAAAAAAGAAAAATTATGCGAAACAAATAATGTAAAAAATGAATTTTGAGTCCATTATTGTGGGTCAAACGTCAACCCATACAATAAGAGGCGCTCTCTACTATTAGCTGGCTTTGTCACATCCACAGGAAGCAGTTCAGAATGTTCATTATCTGACATGAGAAGAAGAAGCCATGTTTCGGGAGCTCTCCAGCTTATGGTCAGTTTTTTTAGCATACCTAATGAGGTGAGAAGCCACCTTTTCTAGCACTATCTATGGCACTATGTATACAATAACAGGACGTACCGCTATTATTGTGAGCCATTTTTATGCGTAATGGTGAATAGATGGTACCCTTAACCCTCCCAGCCCGAGTTATTTCGGCCAGAAGAAGCTTTCTATTGCCGAGTTAGTCAGCCCAGAAAAAACAATTTCTGCTTCTATTTCACGGGTTAGGAGGAATTATGCGGGCAGATAGCGAGGCAAAGCGAGATTCGGTGAAAAAAAAGATTGTCCTAAGACGATCATCTTCATTAGAGCATTTTAAAAGAAGTTGTTGTGTGCACCGGTATGGATATCTTTGGGATCGGCCGATGTCAGACTTTGCGAATCGCGCGATTCGCTAGCGTCCGCGGTCGCGTTGCGGTACCAGCCAATTGAGTGATTCACTGGCCGCGACGCGACCGCAGACGCTAGCGAATCGCGCGATTCGCAAAGTCTGACATCGGCCTTAAGATCGGTGGTGGCAATCGCCACGGCCAGGCCCGAAGGGTTTGAAGGGTGTGATTCGTGAAACATTTCCTGCTTTCAGAGCCTGAGTCTTGATAGAAATCCAAACCCAGTCTGGTAAAAAAGAAGCATAGGCCTCCACCATATTTCATGGACTTCTCTAGGGTAAACCATCCGGAAGAGAGTCTTATAAGAGCCACCTACCTTTGAATCGCTGAATCCTCATTGTATCGAAGTAACGCATAATGTTTCCAACGATGATGCTGGTCCGGTATCGAAATCGTCTGGTGTCTTTCCGAGTGAGGACATGAACTCTATCGGTGCCGGTAGCTTCCATCACAATGCCTGTGATTACGGTCACGTTCGTTGGTTGCACGAGATCCTGCTGAGCCATTCCGCGACCCAGCAGACCTGAAAAGAAGCAGATTAATAAAGTTATGAGTCCTCACAAAAAGTAAGATCTATGTGGACTCACTGAAATCCACTCGTCGATCTGGATATCTCTCCAGCCTCAGCTGAATTTTCACTTCAGGTGTTTGAAGCGTCTGGGGGATGTAGAGCACGTTGAAGACACCCGGCTCATTGAAAATGAATTTGTCATTGTCGATGGTATTGAACGTGCCGGCGCCCATGCCTTCGCCTGAAAACAGAACCCCTCAATTCATTGAGTAAAGTTTTTTGGGGTACGGCAACAGAATTAACGCTCGCCATGATGAAGACCTTGCTGTTATGTCAAGGCGAAATCGGATTTTAGTTAAAGCTTAGCTCTTTAGGAGAAAAACAAGATATTATCGAAAAATACCGGGAAACATCAAAACCTACCGTATGCTGGCGGCTGGTACTCCTGGCAGCCACTTGATGGTCGTCTCCAATAGAACATTTGGCAACGGAAGTCGGCAAATTTACAGCATAAAAAGTAAGGCATGTAGTCGTTGTGGAAAGCGGATAGACCAGGTACCTGGAGTGAATTAAATGGATTAGGGCATGCGAGCAATATGTAGATCTGAAACCGTAGGAAAATTATTGAGATACTCGAAAAGTCGATATTTTCCCGAACATTGAACTCGCTTCCTTAACTTTTGCGAAAAACTGATATTAAAACTTTGAAGGATGGTGATGTACAAAATTGAATGCATTTCGCCTGATCCTAAGTAAATGGTGGCCTAGCTCTGGTTGTAGACTCTACCAAGGCTGCAATAACTGCGGACTGAGGTTCCGTTTGCGACCTGGACTAGTAATATAAAATCCTTTACTAGGCCGGAATCAGAGGTCAGACTGTATACGACCCCTCTTTCAAAACGGAATCAGGTCGTGAAATGTTTATACGACCCCCCTCTTTCAAAAACAATTTTTACCCCAAAAAATTACCGTCGAGCGGGGCGGGGGGTATATACTTACCGTTGAAACCGCAAAATTCCCTACATTTCCCTACAATGTCCATGTATTTCACCTATTTCAACTACTTCCATTTTCTTAGGGCGGTATAACGGCAAATTTTCTCCCGCGCCGCTCCCCACTCATCACATGCCACTTCTTACAACCGAAGCAAGTACGACCCCCCTCTACAAACTCATCAAAATACGACCCCCCCGTTGCTACTTGTAGCAACATAGGGTTGACCCTGGTCGGAAGGTATGAGACTTAGCAAGGGAAAAGGGAAGTGTGAAATCGCGCTTCTGAAACAGAACTAAGAGTTATCAATTGTGCAGATGCTTCAGTAGCGTGTCTTTACTCTCTCTTACTCTCTCTCTCAGAATTCCGGAAGGTATTGGAAAGGTTAACACTCACTTCGTATTGTCCCATATAGGGAGCCGTACCGAATTCGTAGGCTCTCATTGGGAATCCGGGATTATACGGGACATCTGGTGTGACTTTGATTACCGGTTGATAACTTGTCTGCATCAGATGGCCGGCATCATCATAACAACAAACTTGTCCGTAATGCGTGGGGAAGCGCCTAAAATACAAAACCAAATTCTTTCTCAAACTGTTTCTCGCTTTTTGGAACTTTTGAATTTTTTGGAATTTTTGAATTTTGTGAACTTTTGGAATTCTTTTGAAATAAAATTTTGGTGCCTCTTTGTGTTATACAATATTTAGGTAATCATAATAATCTACAGAAGTTTTTGAATAAACTTGGAGATGCTTACGCTGTATTTTCGCTTTCGTATCCTTGTCCTCTGCCAGCATACGAGCCATAGATATTTTGCGCCGACATGTAACAATTCCGTGCTCCAATCGCTACCGTACAAGTGATATCACGAAACGCCTGAGATAATCGCAGTTAACTTCTATTACTTGTAATACGTACATATGTAGTACGTCCGTCCTTCAAATGTCATTTGAGAAGAAAACAGAAACGCAGGAATTATTGTTAGTTTATAATATAATATAATAATTTATAATAAGAACTAACGTGAGGCTCTATAGCTTCACCTGTCGTGCAGGGTCTATATATACTTCTCTTAAATCTAATGTGGCTCTCGTTACTCCCTCTGTTGTGCTTTTCAAGCGCCTGGCTAGTAAAGATTTGTTGAGCTATGACTAGGTTATATTCAAGGGAAGATCGTTGTATTGTTTCCTACGACTGCCTTATGTGTCGTCTAATAAATAAATAAATAAATAAATAAATAAATAAATAATATAATTTCAACGGCCTAGAACACGCGGAATAGGATAGAAAGATAGTGACGCTTCCATATGCCCCTCCCCCGACGTATTATGGTATGTATAGCTCACGCCTCAAAATCTGATGCGGGAAACTAAACAGTAATGAATTTTTTTCTACTGACACGGTTAATTCGAGGAGGTTTTCGAGGACCAGGTCAGCGCTTCATCCCACAGATAAGTTTGAACTTCTAAATGGCAAACGGAGAAGCATTTTCCGAGCAGAGAGGTAGGGCCTGGTATGTCTGATGGGCTCAATATATGGGAGTGCGAATCGGTTAACACGTTGACGACAGCGTGACGCGGTAACGCGTCCCACTTTGCGCACCTCGTGGGACATTGTGACGCGGTATCCCACCCAAGTCATCCCTTTTTCTTGCGCTTGTGCGACTTATTCCTAAGGTCTTTGTACTCATTCTATAGGCCATACATTAGCATACTTAAAAACCACATGGCTCACAGAAAGGCCAAATATTCTTTAGTTTGGCAGACATTTTCCAGACCTTACGGATATGTCTGTTCAATTCATTCCTCGTTTTCTTTTCAATAACGTAGATGTTGATAAAAAGGAATAACAGAAGCAAGGTATAGCCGTCACGTTGGACAATTTCGAAAATTTTACGACCCTTCACCCCCCTCTAGAGGGCGGTGGGGTCATTTGAAAATCACAGACTCCACCCCACAGCCAAACTCTCCACGGACATCTCCGCCACCCTCGACCGTGACGATTTCACACTCCGCCTCAACCAAAAATCCCAGCCTACAACCTAATCGCTCTCCGTTCCATAAAAAAATCATCCCTTCCCTTACTGTAACATTACGCGCTATCCTCGCGAAATACGACCCCCCTTTTCACCCCCCAAATACGACCCCCACCCCCTCGTTGGACAAAGTCCAAACGGTTGACCCTATAATACGAAGTTATACAAACTCTATTCGTATGGGAAGATATGTGCTTTTACTGAAACAACCACTTCCAAATTAATTTTGAAACCACTAAAGGGAAAGTAAGTGAAAATTTGCCTTTTCATGGCCTTAACACGTCATTTCGGTCAACTTCATTACTGTAACTCCTGATAAAGCTAGACAGATCGAACATCATTGAAAATTTCATCGCATCTAAGTATTGCGTATTTACAACTCAAAATCCATGGATTTGGTGTGCGGCGGCTGCGCTCGCAAAATCGCTCTTGTCCCACGCGGTGCAAAAGCACAAAACGCGCGATGTCGTCAACGTGTTAATAAAAAACGAAAAAAATCACAGTGACAAGTAGAAATCAGAAGCCCACTTGAGAGCATCTGGGATGCGGCATAAATCGACCGAGATCGGCCATCGCTTGCCGTTCGATACATGGACATGACGAGTTGGTTTCGGTATCACGAATGAAATTCCATTGTGAGCGCCGTCTTCGTCATACCTGGAAAGGGCGCTACTTATAAATTTTAAACAAAAAGACTTTAGTGAGACCTAACACGGACTAGCCAACAAACCGCGGTCTTCACCAGGTCATGCACATCTCGATGATTTCTGCTTAACGAACTCACTCTGAGCACCGACCGCTGCTGAATCTCATCTCCCTTGAGAGTAGCGGTGTAGTGTCCAGAGACTCTGGATTTATATGCCGTGGTCCATCACAATGTAATGAAATCGGTGCCGAGACGAGGCTCAAAAAAATATACATGAGATCGATTCAGAGCTAAAGAAAAGTCAAAACTTAAAGGCAGTGATCACGAGGACTGGATGGCGCCGCAGTTTCGGGTACCCAACAGGAGGCCCATTGCGAGGCGAAAAGGCAGAAACGCGGACGAGTCGCAGCGCGTGCTGCGCGTTAAGCGCACGTACAATAGTACACCCATTTAACTTGATACGCAATTGTATGTAAGCGCTGCGACCACCCGCGTCTTTGCCTCTTCGCCAGCGCGACGGTTCTTCTCCCGGTACCCCGCAGTTTCGTGATGGACATCATTTGTTGATGGAAAGAGTTTAAAGGACGAATTCACGATGAAAAAGCAACCCATTTCAAATTAACCTAGGGATGGTGAGTGGTACACGAAAGAAGGAAGAACCATGAGAAACGGCCCAGAACCCGAGAAATGGTACCCCTTCCTTGCCCGTTGATTCGAGCATTGATGCGACTCTCATCGCTGTGCCCTCTTCAACACTACGCTCTCTCCGCTATCGTATCAATCGCCATGCATAGACCTGCGGGCGACAGTACATTCAGCTGGTGCACTGGCCCACCGCGCGATTGAGCCTTGAATAGGTCGCCGAGGTCAACTCCTTTGGTGCCAATTGCGCTTCAGTCCGCACCCTTAGGAGGTCCGCGGGTCCCTCAACTAGGTGAATTACTCCTTCTTCGACTTTCATTCTAATCGTGAATTCGTCCTTTAAAGAGGTGGTTATTGGCACGAGCCCATGTTTGCTGAGGCATGCCGGTATGTCCTGAGGTGTCTAGATAACAATGGTGGTAAATGTCGTCATCAAAACCGCGCCGCTCCCGACTATCGTGATCTTTGCCTTTAAGAAAAACGAATAGTGATTTGGTAGTAAAATCCAATAGTAATTGGTAGTAAAATTCAAAATAAGAGTGAAAGAGTGGTGTAACCACAAAGAAATGTGAAGAGTTACCCAGAAAGAAGGGTGCCTGGATTAAGTTCGTTCTGATTAGGCTTGAGCGGTGCTAATTTCAAATAACCAAAACGATAATTATAGAGTTCATGAGTTCGTTGCCAATCGTTGAGATACCACTGCTCCACCTGAACACCAACACCTTTGGAATTCTTACGAGTATGCATGAACAAAAACTATTATAACTCGTGGACATGGAACACTCGTGATCCGGACCAACTTACAGTACGTTAGAAGCTTCGCCTAAAAGCTCGGAAGCTTCCGAATAGCCGGGCACGGAACATACCTGATAGATATTGATACGCTCTTCTTGAGGCTTCCAGCGATACTCGTAAGTGTTTCGATTGGAATATGTAGCCAAACGGCAGATAATTCTATGCTCTGGTCGGAATTTCTTGATCTGAAAAGGAAAGTAGAATTTGATTTATTTCTTTATTTGTCTATTTATTTATTTATCTATTTATTGAGTGCGCTCGATAGGAGCGCTACAATGTAAGGCTAGGGCCACAGGTTCCACTATGAATCAAATTAAAAACACCAATAATAGCGAAAAGAGACACAAATCCATGCCTTAGAGTATTCAATTATCTTTCTAAAAATTATAGAGAAGGTTAAGATGTGCTAGAAAATGTTACAATAAATACCTCGACCTAAGTTGCGGAGATGAAAAAACATTCACAATTTCCCAAGCAGAAAAAAATTACAAAAAAGCAAAGAGATCAGACGAGAAAGCCTGTTGGACCGGAGGTTCATATTATTAGCTTAAACGATTCAAAACAAGTCCAGACTATCGCTGTACCATTTCTGAACTCACTGGACCAGAGGCAGGAAAATGTCTCATTAACCGCTCCATCATATCAAATACGATCAATCATGGACAACGCGGGGAAAATAAACCACATGCC